ATATATATATATATATTAGATAAAATATTGGAGTGCTTTAAAATCCCTAAATTGCTAGAATGTTTTTGTTTGTTTGTTTGAAGGAAGCTTATATATATATATATATATTAGATAAAATATTGGAGTGCTTTAAAATCCCTAAATTGCTAGAATGTTTTTGTTTGTTTGTTTGAAGGAAGCTGCAGGTCAGAAGATCGATAAWGACAAGAGAAAAATGTGCAAACTCTACAGGTACGAACCAGGAATCTTCTTTTATGAATTAAACAGTACAGTGCAGTCAATCTTTTCCCATTTTTGATTTTCTTGAGTAAAAAAACTACTTCCATTAAACAGCTGATTTTAGATGAAGACCCAAAGTTGCTCAGAGGCAGGTTCAATTCACCAAAAAATAATGATCTAATTAAAAACCCAAAGCAGGCAGATAAAAAAAAAACTGAACGAGGAATTTATGTTTAAAGATCTAACGCATGAAACAAGAAACGGTTCTTTAGTAGTGCTGCATCAGCAGTTTTTTTTATACTGACTACACAATGTTGAGATCCGGGCCCTGTTGGGGCCACGCCATCTGCTGCAGGACTCCGTGTTGTTGCCGCAGATAGTTTTTTTCTATGTGGAGAGTGTTGCTTTGCTGCAGATGACAGTGAAAAGTGGGATGAACAGATGCTCTCGTCTGTGCAGAGCTTGCACATCACACGGAGATCTTTGAAATTTCATCTTCTCATTGGCCATATGGGTGCAGCTTAGTGATGCTTTGTAATCATCATCATGTAATTTAGACTTGTGCATTGTCACTGTAGCTCCTTGATGGTTTTGGAAGAGAATAGCTTCTGTGATAATTAGTAGCTTCCACTTTAAAACTGGCGAGGCTCTAAATGTCTTTTCTGCTGAACTTGTTCCAAAACGAAATGAAAACCAGATAGAGCGACCTCACTGTGTTTTCGGAAAGAGCTTCCTCTTTAAGGCATTGACACGGGCTCTCTTTGGGGACACGAGCAGCCCGGGTAAGTGGTGCAGAAGTTGTCAACCATCCAGATAAATCGTCTCAGTGCTCCACACACTCCTCAGACCACCCAGGAGGCTCCAGCCCAGAGGAGGCCCTTCAAGGACAGCCAGAGGCAGACTCAAAACTGGCCGTCAGCCCTTTTTATTATTATTTTTTTTCTGAAGTGTTTTTTTCCTTGTGGCTTCAGTTCTGTGCATCTTTCTGTACATTGAACTTTAAGTGGAGCCACGTAAAGGGCAGAGATTGTCGGTCGTGTTTCTGCCTCTCTGGGCTTAAATTAAACAGAGCAGAAAGTGAAGGTGCTGTTCTGTGTGGGCTAAATTACCCCCACTTTGGCCAAAAATGACACAGAAGGAGAGGATGGGATGGAGCACCAGCAATTAATACAAATAAAAGAAGAAATGAAAATATCACTCATACTCATCTTGAGGGGTTCCTGGCTGCAAAATCACAGCCTGTCACGGCCGCTCTGARGCTATATTTGTTGATTCGACTTGTTAGAATACGATAAGTCTGAATGCAGTGTGAAAGAAAAAAAAGAGATCCAGATGCCAACTGTCCTTAGAACCAAGAACAAAATTTTATTTTTAGCAGAAGGGCAGCCTGTAACTAACTTATATATCAGGAGTATTTTTGTAGGTATACATTTATCTGAAAATTATTTTGAAATCTAAAGAAATTTTGAAAAGTTAGGAATGAGTGTGAAGGCCATTTTTAATACAAATGTGTCCTTTAACAACACCTCAAAAATATGACCATAAACCTAAAAAATAGGTATTTTGTAAGGATTAAGATGTTTAAGTGTGATTCTGTGAAAAAGTTATGAACAATCAACATCTTACCTGTTACAGATAACTAATTAGTGAAACAGTTTAACCACTTCAACATAGCTAAAGTGAATTGACGTTGTCTTGTGAAGTTTCATTGCAGTTTATCTAAATATAGTTTTATAAATCTCACATGTTTTGAAACTTCACATTAAATGTCCCAGGCTGCTACTGCTAGATGTTGCTGCCACTATTTCCATCATGCATCCAATAGMTTTTACCCACGTCTTCCTTTTTKGGCCATGGGGKTCACTGGTGCCCATTTACAGCAGTCACTGTGCAAAGGGTGGGGTACACCCTGGACAGGTTACCGGCCTATCACAGAGCCACATGGAGACAAACAACCRTTCAACAATTTAGATTTACCAATTAGCCCAACGTTCATGTTTTTGGTTTTGATCTGACAAMCTTCTTGAGAGGCAACAGCTCTACCAACTGAGCAACCATTCTGCTGCTGCCATTATTTGTACAYGCATTACCTATAGCCTTCTATATAAATAACAGCTAATGTGAGGAACACTGTT